GGGAGCAGTGGCTATGTGGTAAAGTGGTGATCCTGGACAGCCACTCATGCACACTGTGTGTAGCAAGCACTGGGCCACTGTGGCCAGTGGAGTCGCCATTAGCACTGTGGACGAGAGAGGAGGGCAGGAGGCACATGGGAGCCTGTGTCTCATTCCCTGTGCTTTGTCCCCTATTGCCCAGGCCATAACAGGGATGGCTATCGACAACCATCTGCTGGGGCTGAGGGAGCTGGCCCGGGACATGTGCAAGGAGCTGCCTGAGATGTTCACGGATGAAACATACTTGACGAGCAATCGATTTGTCCTCTCCACCAGCCAGGTACAGCCCTATTTCGGCCGTTGCCCAGAAAGCCACTGGGTATAAGCAGTGGGCTTTCTAAAGAGCTCAGTGAATACAGCCCACTGGTTGGAGTCAGGCAAGTCCCATATCTGCTTCTCACAAGCAGAGTGACCTCAGCAAAACGACCTAAATGGTCAGAGCTCTGGTTTCCCCATCTTCTAAATAAGAGTAATCACAGACATCACCTTAGCAGAGGTGGACAGGACAGGAAAGCACCCAGTCTGGTGCCCTAACCATTATGCTTACTACCTTTCAGTCTGCTACATGAGCGGCAATGGTGTTGCACCGTGGTGGCCACAGACTCTGAAGCCTGACAGGCCTAGAGGGAAATCCTGGCTCAACTAGATGCGATGACAAAGGGCGAAAGCCCAGTCCCATGCCTGGCATGGACTGAGCCCTCCAAGCAGGTCACAGCCATTATTGTAAAGGACTACACGACCAACCGCCAGCCCAGCATCTCCTAACCAGTACCACAGGCTCGTTCTGTTGGAGAACCACTGTCACAAAGACAGAATGAAATCCATCAGACAAAGACAGCAGTTTAGGAGACAAAGTACTGCCCCCCCCCACACACACACACCACCACCACCACCACCACCACATGTCAGTTTGCTAGAGCTCTACCTCATCTGTGAAAAGCTGGATATGGGCAATAAAAGGAGCTGATAAAGTTGTGTTTGAGGATAAAAGCTCACTCAGTAATTTGATTCTGTCATTACAGCAGTGAGCTCACAGACATGAATAAACGAGGGCAGAACACAACATAAATTCTTCAGGAAACCATCCCTGGGCAAAAAAGTGCTTTGGAACGGCTTTATGGCCTTCGGCTGTTGCATGGCAAATTTATCTGACAATGAGGTGACTCTATTAGCAAGACTAATGGTTTGTTCTGCGCATTAAAACAGCCAGTGTCATTTCTGAAGGCCCAAGTACACAATGCCAAAAACCTGTGTGTTTAAAACAAACCGTGCCTGCACCTGCCCAAGAATGTGTTCTATTTCCCCCTGAAGACCAGCTAATAAAATTAATTGGGGTTTGGTGGTTTGGGGTTGTTTTTTGGGTTTTGTTTTTTTCTACTGGAAATGAACATTTATGACCTGAATGCCTTCAGAAACACATTTTCTTGGTTTGTGATCTAGATTACAAAATCTCAGAGCTCTGAACTCAAAATGTTAGGTGCATAACTAAAACTCCAATTGATAGCAAACTTTGAAATGCCCAGCGCTGGGTAATTGTGCATGGCCAGGCTGTGGAGAGAAAAATCAGAGCAGCCAGGCAATGTTGACAGTAATTAAGGATGTGGGGGGAATAGACAGAGGAGACAGGCCAGATTTCCTCCAGTTCATAAATTACTCCCTCTAAGAAGCCTACGAAGGATTGGATGTCACCAGGGTGCCATTTAGTAAATTACCCTGATTGCCTCGGTGCTTCAGACAGGCCCCCAGGTGCAGGAAAGACCCAGCAGAGACCCAGCAGCAGGTGAATCTGGGAGCTTCTGACTCCACAAATAGAGCAAATTTCACACCAGGGAGTGGCGTATATAGCCCCTCATCTTCTGATATCATGCAGTTAGATGGGTTTGTTTTTATGACTCTGGCCATAGCCCTCCATGCTGAAGCAATTGGTTGATTTGGTTAATTCAGTCAAACGTCCAAGTGGGAAAAAGTCAGGGAAGCACATACTTCATTGAGGCCCCGGGTTGTTGGAATGCCCTTCGTTCCAGCAGGCCCACAGGCTGCATTCCAGAACAAGCAGCTCCGGACCTGCCTTCTCTCCTCCAGGTGCCCACAACCATGGAGATGTTTTGCTGCTATGGGCCTGTGGTGCCCGACGGGTACGGTGCCTGCTATAACCCCCAGCCCGAGAGCATCCTTTTCTGCATCTCCAGCTTCCACAGCTGCAAAGAGACCTCTTCTACCAAGTTTGCGAGAGCTGTGGAAGAAAGCCTCACTGAAATGAGAGATCTCTGCTGTCCACCACAGTCTGCCGCAGGCAAACCACTGTCAGCAAAAGAAAAAGTAACAAGGCCCAGCCAGGGCCACAAACCTTGACTCCTACTACTAGGTGTCACTTCCCCAAACCCAACATTCTGCAGCTGCCAAACCCTGCCAACCCCCTGTTCCCAACCCTCAACCCAGCATTCTGCAGCTCCCCTGTCCTCAGGTCCCAACTCATAGCCCACACTGAGATGTCACACAAAACACTGTCGGGGGAAAGTGTCTCTCATTATGCATGGGAATTGTCATTAGTTATCGAGGTGCTCTCTGCCTGTGCACTAGAAGTAAGACCAGCCTGGCTTGAAGGTGGCCTGGGTAAGGTGGAGAAAAGACACTGACTTCCCTCCATGGCCTCAGAAGCTTAATGTTGGTGTTTGCATCCCCAGCAGGACCTAGCATGTCCAGATCACTTTTTCCCAATGAAAGAATGAGTCACCTTATTAAGTGCAATATACCTAAATGACTCATGAGGAAAGAGGCTAACTCCAAGTNGAGCTCTTCATGTTAGAGATGCCTAGACGTTTGTCTTTGGGAAACCACTTCTAGAATTCTATTATCACTAAAATGAAATACTATACCAAGTAAAGTCAGAAGTATAAAAATAAAGCCTGCTGGGGCTATTTTTCTCTCAGCATTCCTTAGGCCCTAGAACACTCACCATTTGCCATTCATCCTTCATCTCGCTCAGGCTTCATAAGAGACTGGTGCCCACCTACGAGAGCGCGTCCATTCGCCGATTTCAGGAAGGACGGGTGGACAACATTCGATCTGCCACTCCAGAGGCACTGAGCTTTGTGAAAGCCATCACTAACCACAAGGCTGCCATGCCGGTAAGCCCTGCTCCATCTGCAGAGTCTCAAGGATGCTGCCCATCTGCTTAGCTCTGTGACAACCAGCCCCTTTGGCCTGTTTGTCACTGAGCAGCCTCCTAACGACCCAGGTGCTGCGTCTCTGATCTGTTTACAGGATTTGGAGAACCTTCTGCTCCTGAAGGATGCCATCCGAGCCCAAACCGAGTTCACAGTCATGGTGAGTGATGAGGGGGGGGGCCTCGTGTGGGCTCATGACTGCTAGCTGTGCCAGAGCTGGGCCTGTAAGAGCAGGGTTGGGTGAGAGCTGGGTACCAACTGCCCAGGGACTCGGCAAGGCCACCCTGCCACTCAGAGCCTCCTTCTTCTATTTTTAGAACCTACATAACACACCACTCTTGCTTCCTACACAGATTTTACGAGAATATAATGAATAGTCTTTGAAACAACAACAATAATAATAATAGCACCAAATACACATAGCAATTTATAATTTATACAACAAGAAAAGTCAAATGTGAGGGGATGGTACCCAAGCCTGGAAAACTAGTGGCTTGCACACCTTGCACAATCACAGGTGAGGCAGTATTTATTCCCACTTAGGGCTTTTTTTACTTTCTTATTCCCATGTTTTTATTTATACTGCCTGTGAATAAGAGTCTTTTCTGAAAATTAACAGTGACATCAAAATTGTAAGAGAAATGTGTCCCTAGTTTAGGGAAATAATTTATTTTATAGTACTGAAACAACTAGTACAGCATACAAACAACAGAGGATAAGCTACTACTGGGAACTGGTGATCAATATAATAATTGCAAATCATTCTGATACAGCCTTTGAAGGATCATATAATCTACAAAAAGGGGTTGACTAGAGTTCAGTCTATATACTTGAAAACAAATACAATGCATATCTGAGTTTTAGAACTAGCCAGTGTAGACTTTCCTCTAATTCAGTACATTCTCTAAAATAGGTCCCTAACTCACCTGAAGAGTGAAGTATTTGTTCTGTTTGGGGGAAATCAAGCTCACTCTCATGTATTCAATGGGAATTTTTTGGTTTTCTGCTTTATGCCAGATAAAGTGCATGGCTCTAGAAAATAAAAAATGAAATCCATAAGCCCTATCATTAGGCAGTTTACTGTTTAGTTGGGAGGAGAGGCCCTTAAATGATAAATCCAATCCAAGTGAAAGGAGCCCTTAAGGAACTATAGAGCATGGAGGAGCTAGCTCGTTCCTCTACTTAGGAAAGCCAAGAAGATGTCCTGGAGGAAGTGGTGCTTAATATGAGAGTTGAAGGTTGAAGAGGTGCTTGTAACAAACATAGAAGGGAAGGATGGCCCCAGAAGGGAACAGCATGTGTAAAAACAAAGTCTTGAGAGAATAAGATGCATTGCAGGGAAAGCAAGTAGTTCAGTATGTGCAAAGAACAGAGAAGCAGGAGTGCTCATGATGCTGCATCTCCCCATCACAAAGCTACTCTGGTGACCAGGTAGAAGAAGGACTGGTTGGAGCATGGATGGTCTGCCAAGAGGCAGCAACACTAATTGGGAACCTATATATATTTAGGGAGAACTGGTGTAAAGACTGAAGTAGAGCAGGGGCAGGAGGTTGGAGAGGAAGCACAAACTTCTGATTAAACATGGTGAACTGAACACAAGGGTTTACTGTCACTCCCCCTGAAATCTTCAAAAATACTGGCAAAAATATTTTTAAGCCACAAACACACTAGAGCAAAGAGAATGGGAAAGGAAAGGACAGCAAAGTTTTAGAGCTGAAAATTAGAACAGATGGCAGCTAGCTTAGCAGACCAGAGAAAGCTGAATCCCATTCAAGCAGTGAGGGAGGCCCAGGAGCCCAATGAACTACACTGCAGAACCTAAGAATGTTTCAGGCATTGGAGGCACCCACCAAAAGAGAGGTGACATGGGGCTGAAAAGAAGAGAATTGGTTGATGATTTATATAAGAAATAGTCAGATTTCTAGTTCCTCTCTACTACTCCCATGCAGCCAGGCTACTATCTTCCCCTTCCCCACGGGTGGACTAGAAGCTTATCTCCTGGAGAGTTTGAAGAAGAAGGACTCTAGACGTGGAGACACCAGGTACAGCTGAGTACATACTATCCTAAAAATAAGGGGATTAATCAAAATCTGCTCACTCAATAGTAAACCCTCCAGCCACTCAGTTCCAGGTACACTGGGAACCACCTTTATTACCACCTCTCCCCAAGCAGGAGATTAGAGGATTTCTATTGGGTCATCGGAAAAGTCATGACATATTTTTCTGCTTTTCAAAGCAAAAATGCATCATGACTTTCCTGACGACCCAATATGTGAAACTGACCACAACAAAAGAATGGAGTCACAGATACTGACAGTTGGGGTCCCCAATGAAAGAGCCCAGCCAGCTCACCTCACAGAAATCTACCAGTTGATAAGCATGTTCTCACACACATATCTTCTAATCATCTTTACAGTGCTTTATTCTTGACACATTGAGGACGGGGCATTTAAATTGTATGTTCCCGGGGTTTAAACCATTGAAATCAACGTTTATACTGTGTTTCTTTAAAAATTTATAACAAATTCGATAACTATTTTTGTGAACTGAAATTTTCAGGAAATACTCACCAAAGACCCTAGTAGTGTTTGAGGGTGTGATACCTCTGGAAACATTCCCCCTTGTGGAGAGGCATTAAACAGAACTTGCAGATGTACCGAGTTTCACTTCACATCCATCTTGCATAGCTGTAATGTATAGATGCAAATCTGTGTCACCGGTCCACAATATGTGAGTCACAATCCTTTCCATAGTTATAAACAGATAGCCATAAATCATCAGCCATTGAGTAGAGCTGCTAACGTAACAAACTAAAACCAGTACAAACAGTTTTTGTTTAATTATAAAAATAATTTAAAACTTAAAGAGAATGAAAACAATGCAGGAAACAGGACTTTTTAAAAACTATAATGGAGATATTCTGAAAGATAAGGGATGATGTTGCACCCATAAATAAGAAAATAAAACCTAAAATTTTTTTTCAAGAAATAAAAATAACTCTGGGGAACTATAGTAGAAGTGTAATTGGATTTCTCAACAGAATCACTGGAAGGTAGAAGATAGTGGAGCAATGCTTTCATATTCTGAGGGAAAATGATTTTTAATTCATATTCCATGCCCAGCTAAACTAATCATCAAACTTGAAGGTAGANTTCGACCCCCAAAGGGGTCGCGACCCACAGGTTGAGAACCGCTGCTCTAGACCCTAGAGTCTAGAAGTACCCTGGAGGGAGGACAGCTTTCTGTGGGCCCAGAGCAGGGCAGGATGCATGGAAGGAGATGCCACCTAACTGGGTTTCAAGGTGTGAATCCAACCTCAGAAAAAAGAAGGAAGGATGTCACAGTCAGTCAATTGCCTGAGCGATGGCCCAGGGGCACAGAGCTTACAGGGCAGGAGCAGGGCTAACCAGGGCTAAGCAAGCGACGGGGACTTTGGATTGAGAGATGCTCCTCCTCCTGATCTCACCCAGCCCACCTGGGCCCCTGTGGCTGTGACGTATCTCCCATCTTTCCGGCCTTTATAAGGAAATGGAGCTGGCATCCCCCAGTGGCTCAAGTCAAAGATTTTGGACTCATCTTTGATTCATCCCTGTATCTCACCCCCCATCATGTCAGTTCTCCTCCAAGTGTCTCTCAAACCCATCCTCTGCCCTCCACCTCCACTGCCATAGGTGCCTCCCAAGCCCCCGCCATCTCATGCTTGGCCAACCACAGCATTCTTCCCAGGGGTCTCTGCCTACAATATTCCTTGCTATATCTTGTCTTCATAAAGTATGAACTTGGAAATACGCAAATCAGATTCTACCATTTGCCATCTTGAACCCTCCCAATGGCCTCCCACCATACTTAGAACAAATCCCAGGCATAGAAGGGCTCTCCATGAGCTGGCCTTACCTGGGGTCTTCCCCTAAGTTCTCTCCCACCTCTAAGACCTTTGCTCTGGCTGTGCCTCTGCCTACACACCTGTCACCATCACTCTTCACCTGCCAGCTCCTGCCCACCACTCAGGTGTCATCCCTCAGAGGCTTTTCCTGACCTCTTATCTAAAGCAGCCACCTTAGGCCCCCTTTCCTGTCATGCCAATTGTGTTCTCTTTTTCTTTCATGTCAGTCATCATTCATGTGAACTCCTTTATTTGTTAATTTCTTGACTTTGTTTTCTAGACTGTCTTCCCCAAGCATGACACCAGGTGTCTCACACATCTGGCACAGAGCAGGCATCAGGTACCAAGTCAAACATGAGAAGACACTGCAGGAGTGTTAGCTGGGGCTGGCATGGTCATGTCTGTTTAGGTTTAGGAAAACCTACAGAGTAGTTCTGCTTTGGGGGAGAGGTGAAGATTAGGGAGTAAGGATTGAAGGCAGAGTAGGGTGCCTGACTCACCTTTTACAGAAGGCTAAAGCTACTATGCAAAATAGATCTTTACAGTTTATGCCATGATCACTGAGGCCCCTCCCTACCTCTATCCATAGGTCATGCTTGAATTGTTTTAAATAAAAAAAGGATTCTCTCACGGGTGTGAATGATTAATTACACAATTAATCCATTCTGTGCTATTAATTAAATACTCATTGGTTCTCGAGGAAAATTCTAGGTTTCCTACCAAACTGGGATTTTTTTTTTTAGCTGAGCCATCCTGCCACCTGTTGGCAGCTCAGCAGCAGCTCAGCTCAG